GGTCACTGGTTCAAGTCCTGGCTGGGCCAGTCGGCATTTCTCAGTATCAGACAGTTTCAGTTTTATTGACAAGTGTGCTTCACACACACAAGGAATTTGTTTTTGCTAAAGGAGCTTCCAGTGTACATAAAGTGAAACGTGACAACACAAAATAAATATGAAAACAAGACAAAGAAAGGGAAAAAAAAGACAGAAAAAGAAGAAGAAAGAAAGAAAAACAAAAGTGGAGTTTGCATGTTTTCCCCATGTTGGCGCGAGTTTCCTCCGGGTGCTCTGTTTTCAAAGACATGCGCTATAGTGGAATTGAATAAACTAAATTGTGTGTGTGAATGAGAATGTATGGGTATTTTGCAAAAAACAGAAATGTGCGCACATCTAGAAAATCTTGAAGGCAGGTGCGCGATCAAAAAACAAACATTAGTAGCAAAAGATTCAAAGTAAATCGGCACACTGCCACTTTAGCTCTCAAAAAAAAAATTTTTTTTTTTTAATGTCAATATCACAATATCACAACGTTTCGACCGACAGGGTCTTCACCAGGTAAAGCATTGCGAATGGAAGTGCTCCAGAAATAGTCAAACAGCTCTACACAGCACCTGCAGTCAATGTTTCCGAGGAAGTCTATAGTGAGAATTTGTATTTGTATTTTAAATGTCTGTTTGTAATGGTGTGTATGTTTTTCATATTGTTAGATGTATATTATTGTATGCAAATGTTTCTGTTTACCGGCTTGTTAGCTGATTGTGATTGACTGCAGGTGCTGTGTAGAGCTGTTTGACTATTTCTGGAGCACTTCCATTTGCAATGCTTTACCTGATGAAGACCCTGTCGGTCGAAACGTTGTAATGTATGGGTATTTCCCAATACTAAGGGTAAAACACATGCGTAAAATAGATGCTGGAATAGTAGGTGGTTCATGCCGCTGTGACGACTTCTGAAATAGAGACTAAGCAGAAGGAAAATGAATGAATGAAATGTCTCTAGACCCTTGCTGTCTATGGATGAAGAGATCTTCTAAAATATCTTTATTTGTGTTCTGAAGATGAATGAAGGTCGGGGGGGGGGTGGAACAACACGAGAGATAATTTTGATTAAACTAATAATAATAATAATAATGACAATAATAATAAATTACAAAAATGAGGAATAACTAATCAAAGCAAAAATATGCTAATTATATATACAGTTTATAGATACACTCACTGGCTACCTTATTAGGGATACCTTTTGAGTACTAGGTTGGCCCCCCTTTTGCCTTTAGAACTGCCTTAATCCTTTGTGGCATAGATTTAACAAGATACTGGAAATATTCCCTTAGAGATTTTGGTCCAAACTGACATGATAGCATCACACAGTTGCTGCAGATTTATCGGCTGCACATTCTCATGCGAATCTCCCGTTTCACCACATCCCAAAGGAGCTCTATAGGATCTAGCTCTGGTGACTGTGGGGGCCATTTGAGTACAGTGAACTCATTGTCATGTTCAAGAAACCAGTCTGAGATGATTCACACTTTACGACATGCTGTGTAATCTTGCTGAAAGTTAGGTAGAAGATGCGTACACTGGTCATAAAGGGATGGACATGGTCAGCAACAATACTCAGGTAGGCTGTGGCATTGACACAATGCTCAGCTGGTACTAATGGGCCCAAAGTGTGCCAAGAAAATATCCCCCACACTATTACACCACCACCACCAGCCTGAACCACTAATACAAGGCAGGATGGATCCATGCTCTTATGTTGTTGACACCAAATTCTGACCCTACAATCTGAATGTCGTAGCAGACATTCAAGACTCAGACCAGCCCTTCTGGCACCAGCAACCATGCCACGTTCAAAGTCACTCAAATCTCCTTTCTTCCACATTCTGATGTGCAGCAGATCGTCTTGACCATGTCTAAATGCCTAAATGCATTGAGTTGCTGCCATCTGATTGGCTGATTAGAAATTTGCGTTTTAGAGCTGTTGGAGTAGGTGTACCTAATAAAGTGACCGCTGAGTGTATATATTGTAAAACAAAATGTGTTTTAGGAGAAATGTAGCATACATAATAAAGGGATTGTTAATGCTATGATCAATTCTCCATAGACAAAATGAAGTCCTGCCCTACTATTGTTTTCTAGAAGCCTTTTTACTGCTATACAAGTCACAAAAATGAATGTTTTGCACTTTTTTACTGCATACAGTACATGCCACTGATTTTAAAGTCTGACATATTTTAAAAAGCATCAAATTATATGATCTGAGGACAGTTCTTCAGTGCTAGAATCACATTTATTGCCATATTGTGGATATACTGCTCATAAAATGCATTAAAATCAAGAGTTGCATTCATTAATTTATTTTCCTTTGCTTAGTGCCTTTATTTATCAGGGGTCACCGACGCGGAATGAACCACCAACTTATCTAGCATATGTTTTACACAGCAGATGCCCTTCCAGCTGCAACCCATCTCTGGGAAACATCCATACGCACTTATACACTACAGACAATTAGCCTACCCACTTCACCTGTACCGCATGTCTTTGGACTGTGGGGGAAACCGGAGCAAACCCACGCGAACGCAGGGAGAACATGCAAACTTCACACAGAAACGTCAACTGACCCAGCCGAGGCTCGAACCAGCAACCTTGCTGTGACAACAGGACTACCTGCTGCATCACTGGATCACCATGGTTGAAATTATGAAACTGTAATTTTAGCATTATTTTTAAATAGTATGTTGCATATATGACATTAATGTAATCCAAATATTAACTTGTAGTTGGCTGTCATATTATCAAGCACACTTTATGCCAGTGGTGCTCAACCCCGTTCCTGGAGATCGACCTTTCTGCAAAGTTCAGCTCCAACCCTGATCAAACACACCTGAACCAATTAATTAGGACCGGAAGAGCACTTGATAGTTACAGGCAGGTGTGTTTGATATGGGTTGCAATTGAAATCTGCAGGAAGGTCGATCTCCAGGAACAGGGTTGTAGGCTACACGCCTGTTTAATTTTTTTTATTAACAAGAAACAGCATGTACAGTTTTTTTTTTATACAATTCAGTCACTTTACATTTCTTAACAAGACTGAAATAAGTGAGAAAAAATAAAGTAAAGGAGAAAAGAAAGAAATACAAAAAACAGAGGAGAGGGTACATAATTATCAAATTACATACAAATATGCACATTTTCCAATTTTAGTTATTAACAAAAGTTATTAATGCACTTTTTCTACAGGAAATGCATATATACAAACATGTTATGTACAAATGTTAACTGAGGAGCATATATTAATTGTTTTAATTGCTTTTCTATTTTGAAACTTGGAAATCACTTTTATACAGTTAAATCTCTTTTTCTAACACCATGAAGAGAGGTTTGCTTTTGATTTTAAAATATTATGAGCAATAAAAGCTTCAACATTGATCCAAAAAAGTCGAGTATATTGTCAAGACCAAAATAAATGTGAAATAGTTTCGATAAAGCTTTCACAAAAACAGCATTCTAACTCAATATCAATTTTACATTTTTGTATAAATAATTTTGTGGGATAAACTCTATGAAGTAATTTAAATGATATTTCTTTAGCCTTATTTGTAATAAAAAAAAATTGAGGTAATGACCATACTTGAGTCCAGTTTATATTATTGAAGATATTTTTCCAGTAAAAAATAACATACGGTATTGACAAATTATTATTATTATTAAATTATAATTTCAAATTATTATTATTAAATATAGTTTAAATTATATTTAAAATTAAAGATCTAATTTTGTGATTGTTATAGGCTTAAGTGAAGTTTATTCATAAACTAATTTCGAGAGGAGCACGTGATTATGATTGAACACGGCTGGTTCTGCATTAGCATGCTTGATCCACCAATCGGGCCATTCCTAACCACTATAAAGAGCCAGGGTTTTCTCACAGTCATCTTCGATTTGAAGAATTCCCCCCTTCCACCCCTACCTTTTCACCTTTCCCTCCATAGGGCAGCACGGTGGCTTAGTGACTAGCACTGTCGCCTCACAGCAAGAACGTCACCGGTTCTAGTTCCTGAACAGGCCCGTGGTCGTTTCTGTGTGTAGTTTGCATGTTCTTCCCGTGCTTGCGTGGGTTTTCCCCGGGTCCTCCGATTTCCTCCCACATTCCAAAAACATGTACAACAAGTTAATCATTAAATCTAAATTTCAATACAGGTAATCTAATAATGCAGCATATCTTTTAATAGCCTTCAATCTTAATCTTTAGCTATTATAAAAAGGGGAGTTGTCGAGATCTACCTGAGCTCGAGGCTCCCCTCTCTTCCTCCAAACGGGAGGGAGCCCAGGGCTCAAGAACCTTCGAGCTCAGGGCTCTCTCCCGGGACAGCATGCCAAACTTGCTTATAATCAATCATCAGCTAAGTGTGAACTCTTGAAATCAAGAGAAACAGATAAACCCAACTGAGGTTTGCTCTGATTTAGGAGGACAAACAGTAAGTGGTGATGTAGGCTACATACACTGCCTTTGTACAGCATATGTATGCCAGCAGGTATTGCCTCGGTTAGAATTGTAAATTCCTGATGTAACATGAATTTTGTATCTTGCCATAAATTCTGTAAATGTAAATTTTTTTCCGGCATTATTAAATAATTGATTACCTAGTAATAATCCATTGTTAAACCAATTGTTAAAGAATAGTGACTTATTTCTATACAATATATTAGCATTATTCCAAATAAGAAGGGTTGGTCACGCCTGCTTTATGCTGTATTTCCATGGATCAGGTTTCTATTGGATGGTTACTACAAAACTTCTCACAAGGTGTCGCTATATTTCCAGACAGTTCGCCACGTCACGGCAACGGCTCTAAATTCTTATTAAATGTACTTGTAGGCCCATATAAATGAGAATGTATAGACTTGACAATCAGTCAGCCTGCTTCTATAATAGACCTATCGTAATAATATTCATGTATGAGAAAGCTTATCCCCTGCGTTGATGAACTTTCCAATGTGAAGGACTGCCCTCAAACAAATCCTCTCATTGCATTGCGTAGGGTTTTAGCACATTCGCCGCTTTGTTGAGGCTTTTATAGTCATGTAAATTCGCATTCCTTCGTCTAAATGCGGAGTGTCAACAGTGGATGAATCCCGCGTGAAGATGGCCGATGGGAGGGCGTCCTGTCAGGGCTGGGATATGCGGGGCAGCGACTCTCCCTCTCGGTTAAATGGGAACAGAGGAGCGTCTGTTGACAGGGGCAGGACTCTGGAAAATATGGTGGGAGTTGCAGAATTTTAAGGGGGTAACGGGACAGCTCGGAAACCTGCTGAAGTTTGTGTCGATGATGGTGTTTTGACGTGTTGGCGGGAGCGAGACTGATGACAGCTGACAGCCGCGCCAAACTTCAAAGGCGATCAAGGTAAGTTCGAAGCTCATTCAAACTGTAATGACGGTTTATCCGCGAAACGCTGAAAGAGATTGGGGATATAATTGTGGATTTAGATGTAAAAGATTGCTACTGGTCAGTGGGTGTCAAGTTTTTGTACTGTTGTTTTGCATAGCTTTATAAATAAGTACCCTACTTTCATTTTACTTAACGTTAGTTGTACCACAGTAGGCTATCTATCAGGGTTCGAACGTGAGTCGTAATATTTTGAAGGTAAATTACCGGCTAGTTTGTTTAGTTGTTTTTTCCAATCATGATATATTTTTCATTCTGTCATTTTGATTATATGAATATTACCAAAATTAATATTTTGTTGAGATGGATGGAGCTTCGTGATGATGATGATGATGATGATGATGGTGATGGTTTTTTGCCATTTGACTTGACAGCAGTGTTGTAAAACACAAAGAATTGTCACCAAAATGTCATATTTACTTCATAGTTAACCACCGACAGATTTAGTTATCAAAGAAGTTTCATGTTAGTTACATTTAGTTTCCAAATTTGCATTAAAGAGATGAAAAGTGTGTTATTATTGACCATCTTGTCTTTCCAATCTCCTGAGACCTTCTTTCATCGACACTAATTAAGATATTTTGGATGAATTTTGAGCTCTCTCTCATCCTCAAATGACACCAATAGCATTGTGTTATTTTGATTATATGAATATTTAAATATCAAATTAATATTTTGTTGAGAAAGAGCTTGGTTAGACTTTGACATGATGATGATGGTGGTGGTGTTTTTGACATTTGACTGTTGACAGCAGTGGAAAAGTGAGTGTTATAGTGCCTATGTGCAACTAACCCTTTTTATGTTGTGGTAAACACAACATAAGGAATTGAGACCAAAATGTCATATTTGCGTCATAGTTAAACACTGACAAATTTAGTGATCAAGGGAGTTTAATGTTACATTTAGTTTCCAAACTTGCATTAAAGAGATGAAAATTCTGTTATTAATATTATTATAATTGTGTCAAATGCCCAAAGCAGGGGAGCCCAAACGTTTTTGTATGAATGGCCAAAAAACATATATCATTGAGAGCCATAGACTGAAGATAAGGCAAGGCAGGGCAAGTTTATTTTTAAAGCACATTTCATACACAGTTGCAATTCAAAGTGCTTTACACAAACAAGAATAAAAGAAACAAGTATAAGAAAAATAAAAACAAATGATAAAAAAACATAAAAATAAATAAAAGTATGTTAAAACAGGTTATAAAAGAATGAAAAAGAAGAGAAAAACATAATAGTGGGATCTGTCAGACGTAGCACAGTGCTCATTCAGTAAAGGCACTGCTTAACAGATGTATATATCAAAATAAAGGTCATTTCCTCAGTTATTTAATAATATTTAAAAAAATAACATTAGACTAAATTAATAACATTACCCTAAATCATATTAACTAATGCAGTATAATTAGAAAAATGTAATCTATTATAATAAAAGCATAAACAGTCACATTTGCATTGCATTGTCTTCTATTCGTTGACTGACAGTATGTACAGTACATTTAAAAAAATCTGATTCATTTATAACATTTTTTTAAAAGGTTTCATTTTAGTTTGCTTTCTGTCGCTTATCAATGAAAAAAACAAACAAACAAACAAACAAGCAAAAGATTACATTAAATTAGAAGTGACAGTCTCTAATCAATCCCCATCATTCTCCCTCTTTTCTCAGATGGAATGGCGGGGCAAATTAAAGGTTCCCATGGGCCAATTTTAGTCCCCGGGCCCTAGTTTGGGCACCTCTGCCTTAGGGCGTACTCACAATATGTACTATTGCCTTAAACCGGGCCAAAGCACACTTGTACCCCCTCCCGTCTCTCCGACGGCCCGCACTCACATTAGATTCGGGCCTGGGCATGCTTATGTCACCGATGATGCGCTGTTCAGTAAGTGCTTTCTCTCAGCACAGAGGAGATTTCTTCAGGTATATCGATTTAGTGGTTTGATATGTAGTGACACGCAGTCAAATATTTCAGTGAACAGATCTGGCACCTTTGACGCTCATAAACAATCATAAAGTCTTCGTGCTGCAGGAGTTAGGAGGTTTCCTGAAGGTGCAGCTGTCGTGCAGTGAGGGGTTTGCGTCTCAACAACAACAAAAAAAAACAGATGAAACAAGACAAACATAGGATTGTAACAAATAAACAACAGCAGTTTGCGTTCATTGAACAGTTAGAATGATAATAAATCCATATGAAACAGTCCCTTAAAAGTCACATCTCCCTTTCAGTTTTGGTCCAGTGGCGTAGCGGACAGGCCCGCAGGGCACGCACCGCAGGGGGGCCCCGCGTGATGGGGGGCTCCGCGTCGTCGCGATTTTCAATAATTGAAAATCCAGCAATCCCAATAATCAAACTCTTGGGAACAACTGTGGTCGGAACCAAAGTTCACAGGTCTGTGTTCTCTGAACACCTCTGAAGCGGTGGACTACTTTATTCTGATTGCTTGCCGCCGAACCGCGTCATATCATAGCTCAAAGTTGACTTGATTTGATCTCTCCTTGACGCTCACACACCGGAGAAGACACACCGCGCTGTTTCTCGCCACCGGTTCTCATTGAAAATGAATGACTTCTGGCTACTTTGACGCTCTCGCCGCTTTCGGTTTGTGATCGCTCCTCAGTTTGTGAAGGCTTCCCTGCGTTGTCGCTCCACCCCGCCTGCCTTCCTAGCTCCTTAATTTGTGATCGCTTCCCCGCGTTGTCCCCCCCTCATTATCAGGGGGCCCCGTCAGTGATCCCTGCAGGGGGGCCTCCGCATTTTGCGCAACGCCACTGTTTTGGGTTCAGGCACGTTTTGCACTCGCACACTAGCGTACCGCGCCAAAGCCCAAGTGAACCGCACTCTGGGCCGGCCAAGTGAACCGTGCCTGAGCCCGATTTAGAGCACTCACACTTGTCAAATGATCCAGGAAACGGGCCTGGGCATGGTTTAGATAGCATAGTGTGAGGACGCCCTTAATGGCATAGTCACCCAAAATGAAAATTTACTGACTATTTCCTCACCCTTTACTTGTTTCAAATCTTTATGAGTTTATAAAATATCTTCTTTTTGTGTTCAACATAAAAAAGAAACTCACAGACATTAGAAAATAGTAAGTAGCAAGTTTATTTTTTGGGTGAACTTCGATGTTTACTCCATTATAACTGAACTCTGCACACATTGCAATATTGATATATTGTGCAGCCCTAGTAAGAATGGTATGAGAGCAATTCCAGTGTTATGGACATGACATTTGCAGTACATTCTCAAAACATGAATTCACAGAGAAAGTATACGTTAACATTAAATTAAAACATCTGTTTATATTTTCCAAAACTACTTACCACACAGTTATGGGAGCAGGAAATATCAATCTGTAAACATATTTTATATTTGAAATGAAGAAAATAAATGTGTTATGGACGTGACAAAGAAAAGTCTGCGAGTTTACATTATACAACATACTTTGTAGTAATTCTGTGAGTTAAACTGCACAATCCAAAAGAAATAATGCTAATCAAAAGGATAAGAGTCGGCTCACTACAGAACAAAAATCACTGATTTGATTTTATTTGACATTTTTTGCATTTATGAGGAAAAACCATCGTTATGGATGTGACATCTCTCCGTTATGCATGTGACAGATGTAAAAATTTTCACTTGTGTGATTTTGGTAAATGAAATATAATAGTATGAAAACATTAACAGAGGCATTTTGGAGTATTTTGAAAGCTCTGTAAAATACATGCTTACTCAAAAAACGCAGAAACGGTTTCGATGTTTTGTCAAAAACGTTTTTTTTTTTTTTTATGGCAAGGTTGACATTTGCACGTGATTGCTCATAACATGAAACAATTGCGGTTTTAAAACCTTGATTTTTCCAGATCGCGTTAAACCTTGAAACCGGTTATCATACCATGCCAAAAATGAGTTTTCAAACTGTTTTATTTTCCATATCAAAATGCTGCAGGGTGAACACTCTCTTAAGTTCATATGCAAGATTGTGTGGCTTGTAAAAAAAAAGGATCCTCCCTTTCTGGGAAAACACCTCTACACACCCTGTTGAAAAAAATAAATAAAACTGGTTTGTTGGTCTTAGTGTGAGTAGATCTCCCATACAGCTCATTTAAAAGTGGCCAATAGACCAACCTGCACGGTAAAAAGTGTCTGTTAATTAACAGTTTCCATAATTTATGATCCACAAGTGTTTGTTTATGGTTGTGAATTGCATTATGGGATGTTGATCTCGACTTTTGATGTTGAAAATTTAACTGTATAGTTTAACAAAGTGACTTTTATTGACATTTTAGTAAATTGGATGTATATATAGACAGGGCCGGAGTGGGACTCCTTTTTAGCCCTGAAGTTTTAAGCATTAGACCGGCCCAGCTCAGTTCACGACTGACTATATTAAAATAAGGTCATTTCCAATTCAGTTTCTAATTACACTATCATGTCTTTTTCAAGAAAACAGCTGCTTTAGAACTTAAATGTTCAACAACCTTACAGTTTTATATGTCTTAACAATAAAAATAAATAAATAAAGAATTACTCAGGTGAGTATGGAACACGGATCGACAACGTCTAACGCAACGAGCTGACCACTGGACCACAATGGCGTTGTTATGCTGGTGCGGCCGGAATGACAGTTACCTCATCATTAACCTGCAGGCTGCATTTTGCTCATGGGGCTGCGAGACAATAAATAAGAAGAGCGGAGCTGCGGCAAAATAATGAAAAAAATAATTATTTTTATTAAAATATATAAATATAAATGTATAATATAAAAAAATAAATGAAAAAAATTGCGACTGCTGAGAGTGCAAGCAGCTAGAAACACCAGCCCTCCGGGCCAAAAAACAGAGCGGCCCACCGGGAACTCTCCCGTTCCTCGCGATTGGCCAGTCCGGGCCTGTATATAGAGATAAATAAGTCTCTGAAATAAGAAAATATGTACTGGCAGTTTATTACAAGTTTTTTGTAGCATAATAAACATCACCAAACCAGGCAGTATCTCACTTTAAATTATTAAAATGTTAATAAAAGTCACTTTTCCAAACTTTTCAAGGTTAAAAGTTATTGCAAGAAAGATTAATGCTCCATAATGCAATTCAAAAGCATAAATAAACTCGGATAAATTAAAAACATGAATCACAAAATACAGAAAACTGCTCATTTACAGATTTTTTGGTCCCACTTTATATTAAGTGGCCTTAACTAATATGTACTTACACAGGAATTAATAGTTTGTTACAATGTACTTATTGTGTAAATACATGCATTTATTGTGTACTTATGCTTGATTAAATACCTGTGTGTATTTACATCTGTAATTACATTTGTAAATACACTGCTGACCATTCCCTACACCTTGACCCACCCTTAATCCTACCGACACCATCAAACCTGTCCATAACCCAACCTCTATCCCTACTCAAGAGCACCACAAGTGTTCTCAAATACATTATGAACACAGTAAGTACATTGTATTTATTTTTTGATGCCAGTACATAGTAGTTAAGGACACTTAATATAAAGTGGGACCGATTTTTTTTTTTTTTTTTTTGTGTGACCAAACTTAAAGTCTACCACAACAGCTTAGGCTGGTTTAAATATAAAGATATCAAGATATCATTTTTAAACAATCAAATCATGCCAGTAATTGACACTGTGGCGTGTATGAAGGGAAGGGATGCACCACCTTCTGCAGAACTGACTCTTCTAGTTTAACCTCTCCATCTGTCAGCACTCCTTTATGCTGTGCCATGAGTTGAACCGACTGTTTGTTTCTGTCTTATAGTGCCAGGGATTGCAGAGCCGCTGCAGGGATGGATGGGAATGCGCACAACCGACCGCCTGACCGAAGGTACGTCGCCCGTAACCACTAAAAGATTTACTCCTTAGCTCTTTAGTCTGATCTCCTTAGAGCGGTTGTTATTCATGTTATGCGGTTGAGTCTTTCAGACATGATTATCTGTGTGTTGTTAACTCAGGAAGTGTATTTATAACTTTGATTTAAAGGGATAGTTCACCAAAAATGCAAATTGACTTACTATTTACTCAACCTTAACCTTTATAAGTTTTTTGAGACACGAAAGATGTTTTGATGAAAGCTGAAAACCTGTAACCATTTACTTTCCTAGGACAATACAAATACTATGGATGTCAATGGTTACCAGTTTCCAGATTTCTTCAGAATATTTTCTTTTGTGTTCAAGAGAAGCAAGAAATCCAAGCATGTTTTGAACAAGTAAAGAGTGAGTTGATGATGAAAGAAATAATTTTTTTGTTGTTGAGTAAACTATACTGTATTTTACTATGGATGCCAATGGTTACGGTGACACATTGGCTCAGCAGTGGTTAGCACTGTCACCTCACAGCAAGAAGGTCACTGGTTCGAGTCCCGGCTGGGTCAGTTGGCATGTTCTCCTCGTGTTCGTGTGGGTTTCCTCCGGGTGCTCCGGTTTCCCCTACAGCCTTGTATAGGTGCTATGAATAAACTAAATTGGTGAAAATGGTGCTATAGGTGAAAATGGTAACTAAACTAAATATGTACCCCCGCCGGTCCTACGCCACCCAACCCGCTCAGAGCTGGTATTGAACCGGTGACCTTTCGCATGGGAGTTGGTTGCTCTACCGAGGAGGCTAAAGACCCTGGCCTCTAGTGTGTTGCTAGAGCACCTTTAGAGGTCAGAAGAGTGAGGTTTACCTGCACAGCACCTACTGGCTGGCTCCGTTACACATAGGTGAATGGTTGTCTATGGGTATTTCCCAGTACTAGGTTTCAGCTGGAAAGGCATCCTAAAACTGGGCTGCTTGTTTTAGGGCTGCCTAAAACCAATGCTGGATAAGTAAAGTTGGTGCTTCATTCCGCTGTGGCGATCCCTGATTAATAAAGGGACTAAGTTGAAAAGTAAATTAATGAAGTAATTAATTTTTGTGTTGGATTTATGTGCTTAGTTTTACTGTAGAGCTTTGAGTGTGCTCTATTGTATATGGTGCAACTTCATTAATGTACAAGATAGCTTCGAAGACTATTTTTACCCTTTACAGTGTTCAGAGATGCCACAGAGACGCCACATTGTGGTGCCAAAACAAGTGGAAGAACAAGAATTTGGAAACATGGGTCGTCAGTGTTGCATTTATAAATGTGCTGCAACGAAGGTTTGGTTTTGATTTCCTGCTATGAAACTTGACTCACTTGTGGACTACAGTGCACGTGACAGAAATACGTTTGTAAGGAAAATTTTTTACCCGAGAGCTTTTCGCATCTGGAAATGGTGACATCTAGATTTGCTGCTTCTCTCTTTTTAAAAAAAGACGCGGCTCCAGTTGGTGTTGATTGTTCTGTCTCAACAGATTTGGTGAGTGAGTGATCAGTGGTCTTTGTTTGTTTATTCAGAGGCAAAGTTAGTTGGTATCGTCAGCAGTACTCTTTCAGTTTTTAGAGACAGACCTTAGTCAAAATGATTTAGTTAGTTTACAGTACGATAAATTCACTACAATATTATGGACCGATGGATCTGCTGTAAATGCTGCTCTGCGAGTGTAAACATGTAAACACCTTAATAAAACTATTACCATCGTGTTGAATTTTCGCCGGATTTTGTGACAGGATAGTCTATACACACACGGCTTTCTGACGCTAACTACTCAGTGCATCTAAGATACCATAAAATGCAGAGGGTTTTTTTCTCTCATTCGCCGTGCGGTATCAAACATTCCATTAAGACTACACTCTTCCAGCAAGATCACAAATTATTAATTTGACAAATAATTCGATTACTGATGTCCATGTAAACACAGTCACTGTCTTTCTCCCGTGCATCTGTGTGTTGATTTGCCTTTGTGAAAATCAGCGCGTGCCCAAACGGAAACTCCCTTTTTTATGCAAAACCTTCCCTCTTTTCCTCCCCCGACACTCCCACCTAAACAAAGCTGGACTCACCCACTTTCCTGACTTTTTCCAAAGAGGTGTGAAAACAACCTGAAACAGGGGGGTTTCGTGGCCCTTTAAAGGGTACAATTGCCGGCAGCTAGCTCTCTGCAACTCACACATGGTTGCCCACTGAAGCTAAGCAGGGCTGCGCCCGGTCAGTACCTGGATGGGAGACCACATGGGAAAGCTAGGTTGCTGCCGGAAGTGGTGTCAGTGAGGCCAGCAGGGGGCGCCCAACCTGCAGTCTGTGTGGGTCTGTGTAATGTCCCAGTATAGTGACGGGGACGCTATACTGCTCAGTGAGCGCCGTCTTTCGGATGAGATGTTAAACCGAGGTCCCGACTCTTTGTGGTCGTTAAAAATCCCAGGATGTCCTTCGAAAAGAGTAGGGGTTTAACCCAGGCATCCTGGCCAAATCTGCCCACTCACCTCTGTCCATCATGGCCTCCTAACCATCCCCATATTCAATTGGCTTCATCACTGTCTCCTCTCCACCAATCAGCTGGTGTGTGGTGTGCGGATCCAGGTGGATGCTGCACAGTGGTGGTGGATGAGGAGATCCCCCCCCCATTGTGTAAAGCGCTTTGAGTGCCCAGAAAAGCGCTATATAAATGTAAGGAATTATTATTATTATTAATATTATACAATGAAATTTGCCCACTTTTTACGCAACCTTTAAGTGGTTATTAAACTTTGAGTTTATTAGACACAAAATAAGACATTTTAAAGAAAGCTGAACACCTGTAACCACTGACTTTCATAATAAAAAACAAATATTGTGAAAGTCAGTGGCTACAGGTTTCTTCAAAATATATTCTTGTGTGTTCAACAGAAGAAAGAAACATGTTTAAGTGTTTCTGTCAACTGGATTGTGTCAAGAGGAGGTAAATAATAATAATAATTATAATTAAATTATAATAATGCATTTTATTCATTCATTCATTTTCTTGTCGGCTTAGTCCCTTTATTAATCCGGAGTTGCTACAGCGGAATGAACCGCCAACTTATCCAGCAAGTTTTTACGCAGCGGATGCCCTTCCAGCCACAACCCATCCCTGAGAATAATGCATTTTTTTGCAATTAATTTTTCTTAAACTCAAAGCCCTACAGTATATCTTAACTCAGACATTCAATCTAAAAATACAACATCAATTAAAAACAAGCTTATATAAATGTGTCTTAATCAACTTTTTGAAGTGACAGAGTTGGTGTGTTTCTCATATGAAGGTTTAAAGAGAAAGTTTTCATATTTGATAATATTTTTTAGCATCTTGGTGTTTTGATATCATGATAGATATTCTTGATCTAATCACACAAGGGTGGAATGTTTTAAGTTAGATTATAAAGGATACTTGCAGACATTTGTGCTTTTGATTTTACAGCCAAAACGATGTCACTTCCTGGAGGGTGATGTCGTTAAGGAACTGGCTTTTGTTAGCAAAGGGATTTTGCAAAGAACAAACAGATGGAAAGTGAGGACACAGGAATAACTATAAATATATTACCAGTGAATTCAGGATTACATGTTTTTTTTTAGATTTATGTGAAGACTTTTAGTTTGAGGCATTGTTGTAATGACTGAGTTATAGGTGTACTGTAGATATTTCAGTCGGTGGTCATATAAAAAAAGTGTAATGCGCTATGCATGTGTGTTTGATCTTTCATATTGTGGATTTAAAGATTATTGGGAATGAGGGCTAATATTTTCCTGCAGGATTTTCCAGTTGTTTTATTCCTGCAGGCAGTTCATTTCACATGAAGAGAAAGCATTGTACTGCATAATAATGTGAGTTCTGGAATAAAGCTAAAAGTAAATGAAGGAAGCACAGAAATTCCAGTGTTATGGATGTGACATTTGCAGGAAAAAAAAAGTAAAACATAAATGTTGGGCTGCACCATTCTGGCTAAAATTAGAATCATGATTTTTTTTGCTTAAAGGTCCTAGTGTCACGTCCAGTGGGTGGGGGAAAGGAGCGAGGACTGGATGGATATTTATTAATAATAGAATAAAATAAAAGGCAAAACAAACTACCTCAAGGGGGAAAACATTAATAAAACAAATAAACAAACAAACTAGACTGGGCAGGCTGGCAGAGATCAGGACAAGGCAGGAAAAGATGATGAACTAGCACAGGACAGCGGACATGAGGAGAATATAAGCAGAAAGAAATTAACACACAAACAGGTGAACCTAATAAACTAATAATTGGTTAACAAGGAGGGTGGGACTAGACAATAGACGGGACAAGAACACGCAGCCAATGAGAGAACTCATTAACCGCGTGTTCACAAGACAACACTAAAAGCACAATACCACAATAAACACTGAGCCACATGCTTAGACAACACCAACATAAACAGATGCAAGACACGAGCACACAATAGATGATGACACCTCATGCTCACACATATGCAACGCGCATGTTTCATCTCAGCGTCAACCGAAACCCACCAGACTGTGACGCTGAGAATACAAACAGACTGACAGAACAAAACACAAACACGAGTACAAGAGCGCGTGTGCCAAGCACGCACAGATCTTGCGTGCCCAAATTAAATGGGAGCGCGCATGTTCTGAGCACACTCACAACAGCGCCTCTTCAGAGACACACTAGCTATGTTTCCATCCACCTATTTTATGCACATTTTGCAAATGCACATAAAAAAAACAGTTGATGGAAACGCCATGATGCGCATAAATTTAGAAAATGCGCATAAAAAACTTATGCGCCTAACTGGGTAGGATAAACTTTTTATTCGATAAGGAAAGATGCGCATAAACTGCGATGGAAACACTTTTACCGCACAAACTCCAGCATGCGCATTAAAAAAGGTCATGTGATTTTGTTAAAAGAGATCATGTGGTGCTTAAAATGTGTGTGAATGGATAAAACGTCAGGCTGAGCACATTATAAAACATCTGAAAT